ATCAGCGTGAACCTGCCTAAGGATAATAGCATAACATTTCACGATATTTGAGGCACAAATACAAACCCTGCCCCAACTCACTTTCATTTCTTACACATTCCTTTTCGATCATCACTCACATGGGTGAATATGTTACATTGCTTAATCAGGAGCTATGTGTAATTTTATGATCTGGTTTTTGCAATTAAAATGATACCCAAACTACTTTTCCATGACACCTCTAAGTCATCCTAATTGTTAGTGACTGCATGATATCCCTTTCAGTAATCCCATCAGATGTTGATTAAACTTGTTATTAGCCAAGTTATAAAACAGGATCTTCCATGCACTTTACTGGAAATAATGGTGAATGCTTAGAGCTTCTTTTCATGGTAAAACCATGTATTTACTCTACCTGTAAAGTCAGCCTCATAATCCCATCAGATGTTGATTAAACTTGTTATTAGCCAAGTTATAAAACAGGATCTTCCATGCACTTTACTGGAAATAATGGTGAATGCTTAGAGCTTCTTTTCATGGTAAAACCATGTATTTACTCTACCTGTAAAGTCAGCCTCTAAGCTCCCTTGGTGACTTGCCATCAGCTGCTGCAGTCAGGCGCTCAAGCACCCGAACAGCAGGATGGTCTCCGTGTGTCTGTGGCTTAAAGCAATCATGCAAAATCGGTACATTGTGGGTTCAGCTAACCCAGAAATTAAAAAGAACTCTGTTGGCAGCGTGGCCCCATCTTGTAATGCATCAGGAATGCAGACACTATTTTTATTGGCACATGACTGCTGAGGCTCCCAGTTTTTAGAAAAGAATCTGGCCCCTAGGAATCTGAGGACTAAGTTGTATACTGCCCTCCAAACCTGGAGGGGGCCATAAAATCAACCGATCTCACCTTGCCAACCAATGCAGGGTAAAGAAATGGGTTTCCAGGAGTCTGTGGCTGCCGGCCCTGCTTAGGAAAGGAATGGAGCATGGGTCAGTTTAATTTTTGTAGGTCTTTGGGTAAAGGCTACAAACAAGGGAACTGAGATCTTTTATCCGAGGTAGTTACAACTCCTGCTATAGTTAGATGTTTTAAATGAGGTTAGGTCCTGTTTGAAGGTGAGTCTGCAGGAGACAAGAAACTTTTTTTTTGCCCATTATTTTTCATTCTGATTAGATGACTTGATAAAATGAGTTACATATTCATATGATCTTAGGCACTGACTTAAATTTCTTTGATTTTCAGCATTTTCTGTTCTTTTTTCATCTGGAAATGCTTATATCTGGCTTACCCATCTCATGAGATTGCTGTGAGAATCAAATGAGATGTAAACTGTAAAATCTTCTGACAAGTGCAAGGTGGATCCTATTATTAATGATTGGTAATGATGAAGAGTGGAACGTCTCCAGATAGCATCATTAGACGATTCTTCACTGTGGGTGTGTCAGGCTAGGAGAGGATGAAACCATGCCAGTTAACCACAGTGATTTTTTTCTCTAACATAAACCTGGCCGAGTCATTCTGCTGCCTGCCTTTACTTGTAGAAAACATGCTCCTGTGGGGTGTGGATTAGACTAGGCAAAGGGTTCTGAGCTCACAAGATGAAGGTCAGCCATAGAATCGGTCAGGAAGGCTGTCTCCAAAATTTTTTTGTGCTGTCGTGACAAATCATACCAAGACCCATTCATTTTCAAGAATATGAGAAAGTGTCATCAGAAGTGAAGAACAAGTCAACAGCTAGAGGAACACCTTCCCTATTTATTTGAAAACTCAAGCTTGCTTTAAATTGTGCCCAGGTTGTGTGGCAAATTTTTGCCTGCAAGGAGTAAGCCACACAACTCCCTGCAACGTCAGCAAGAGCCACATGACCTAGTTTCCGTGGTCGGAGCTGAACGATCCCCTGAACGTGTGCCCTGCCACAGTGCCTGTAAACATTATATAGTGAACTCTTTTTAAAATGCATGTTTTAAAGAGGAAATTGGATAGTTCTCATTTGTTTTGCTGAGGCTTTAGGGTGTAATAATTTTTTCCTCCTGAGGTTATTTCAGCACCGTCTCCACAGGTTGTAGGGGATTGGAAAACAGTTCTATACTATTTCAGAGAACAAATCTGACCCATTGAAAGATATAAATATTTGTCCTGGGCAGACAGAAAATAATTGATTGTGTCATTGTTCTCTTGGCCTGACTCTGCCCAGGTTCCTAAGTCATATAGGATGATAGATGAACTCCTTCAGGCCCCTGGGGCACATGTTCAATGAACACAGCTCCGGGGCACAGAGTATCTTCATGGTATTCAAAAGAAGCATTCTCTCCTCCCCTTATCAGGAGACTGAGGACAGCCATCCTCACTTGTTAGAAGAGACCAGGAGCATGGGTCATTTTTATTTTTATTTTTTTAGGCTTTGAAAAAAACTTAAGGTAAAGACAAGGAGACCATTTATACAAAAGAAAAGGAGGCTGACACATATCCATTGAGTACCAAAAAAGGGAAAATGAGATTCAACTAGGGTCACACCCAAATTTATGCCCAGACAATGACAATCGCTTCTAAAGCGGGTAGGGTTTCCCTCCATGGTAGAGCTCTAGTTATTCAAGATAATTTCCTTATGAACCTGTGCAAAATATTTCCTTATCCACGTACCTTTTGATAAAGCTTCATCATAATACTGTTTTTATACATCACTTTGAGTAAGTACGAGGGTTCATTTGAATTGTGTGTGTGACCAGTTAGTTGACAGAGGGGATGTTTCTTAACCTGATTATGAGGGAACAAGATCATCAAGACCAAGTCTTCTACTGTATCTCTTTCTTCTGTGTAATTTTTTTCCCTCAAAATTGGGTCTGTAAACCACTAGAGACAGAATCACCTGAATAGCTTTTTAAATGAAGATTCCTGGGTCCAACCCCAGACCTGCTGAGCTGCATCTCTGGGGTAAGGTGAAGAATTGCATTTTTAATAAGCACTGTAGGTGATTCTGATGTTTGAGAACCACTCCCCTAATTTGGGGGAGAGGAATCATGCTCAAAGTGTGTCCCTGGACCCACAGCATCAGCTCTCCTGGTAGCTTATTAGAAATGCAAATACTTGGGCTCAACCCCAAACCTACTGAATCAGAAACTCTGGTTGGGTGGGTGGGAGCCCAGCAGTCTGTTTAGCAAGCCCTCTAGCTCACCAAAGCCTGAGAAGCACCCGGGTAGAGTTTATCCATTCCCTTCAGTAGCTCTTTACAGCAGTAGGGAAGGGATTTATTAAGAGAACCTCATTAATTTGCAACATTTAGGTTTTGTTTTTTAACCCAGAAATCTCAGTTCAGAAGAAACTTTGAAAAGAGATTTAATCCAGCCCTCCCTCTAGTGTTTGAATCTCTCCTTCCCTTCCTCCCTTTATCCCTCTCTCTCCCCCTCCCTCCCTTTCTCTCTCTCTCTCTCTCTCTCTCTCTCTCTCTCTCTCTCTCACCCAGGCACTGGGCCTAGGGATAGAGGATGCAATGGTGAATGCAAACAGCAATTCCCTGCCCTCTTGGAGTTTACAGTCCAGGCATATTTCAAATGATTACACTAAAAACTATGATATAATTATTTTAAGTGCTATAGTGAGGAGGCACATGATGTCATGAGAGTGTATAATAGAGGGATTTGAGCAAGTCTGTATACCTTCTGCAAGGAAACGCAGCTCTGATGGAGCACTTCCTCTTAAGAGAACTTTTGACATCCTGTTGGAGCCTGTTTCACTCTAAAATAAATCGACATCTTAGAAATGTGTTCTCTATATTGAATCAAAATCTGCCGTACTCTGTTCTGGCCCATGCCATCCTGACTCTAGTCTCTGAGTCGACTTGGAACTAATCCAGTCGTCTTATACATTACAGATCTTACATAGATGATTTCTTCCCTTTAGGTTTTTTTTTCTTCCCAAGGCTGTGAGATTCCTCACTGACTTGGTCTTCTTCAGAAGTACTCCACCTTTTTTTCTTTATTTTTGAACTTTTTACAAACTATTCTGCTGCTGTTGGAATATATGTGTTGGAAGTATATAATGATAAACTCAGAGGAGCGTATCTCAGAATCCATCTATGACCCTTGTCCTTGTTATAAACATACTCCACGCTCCTGAGGCCAACTGCAACTGCTTTATGTACAGCTCTGTCACATCACTGACTTGCACTGAGCTCACAGTTAAGTGAAACCGTGGGCTTATCTATTCATCTACCTACCTATTGACTTATCTGTCTATATATTACCTTTTCCAAGGAACTGAAAATGTTTTAAGAGCAGTGCCACAGAGATTGGCCTCTAGGATGTCAGTAACCTTTAACTAGCACCTGTCACTGAGGTTAAGTGTTTATGTTTATTTGCATTATCGACCAGTCCAAATTTCTTCGGTGTGTCAGTCCAAATCATCATTTAATAACTGCCTTGCTATAAAATACAGATACAGGAAGTTTCCAACAGTCTACTAATCTATCAATCTGCTATGCCTACCTAAAGGAAACGAAGTTAGTATGTCTCCACTGGTAGTTATCACCACTTCCTTTTCTCTGTTGACAGTCTTTTAATATTTATCGGCAACTCAAGAATTCATGAGATGCACAGCTTTTAGCTGTCTGAGGCATGCAGTGTTTTTCTGCATGGTTAAATTCCTATCAAAACAATATCTTCACTAGAAGCAACTTTATCCCATCTTTTTAAGAAGTCTTTTATATCCTCTGAGTGAGTTCATGTATCTTTGTATTTTCACTTAGAACAACACCATTATAACTCCTCTTTGGGTCTCTGGATCTCCATGAAGTATACAATATATTTTGGCTTATTCCTCATAGATATGGTTTGGTTCATACATGAATACTGCAGTCTGTTAGTTCACAAAATACAATTCAGGAACTTCTAAGTAGTCCTGGGAATAGTTCTCATAAGAGTTAGCATTTGCATTTTGGGGGTAAATATTTGCTTAGGTTTGTCATGAAAAAATGAGTTCTTTCATAAAAATCAAAACTTTATTACCATTTCATTAGAACAGACACCATTTGTTTTTAATTCCAATCAGGAGATTTTCTTTTGTTTTGTGTTTTAATGATGTCATGTCACATTCACCTGGTCGTCAGTCTCCTCACCCATTAAGTGAGTGCTTTTGACTCGATGATCCCTATGGTATATTCAAACTCTAGAATTATATGATTTTGAACCTTAAGAAGGAAAGGAAATTTAAGATAATTTAAAAATTAAACCATAACACATATATTCATGTGCATGCATACACATGTACATGCATGTGAAACTGATGAAATCCAAGGTGGTTAGATTGCATCAATATCAATTTCTGCTTGTGATATTGCACTTACAGTTTTGGAAGATATTCCCAATGGGGGCAAGTGGGTGAAGGGTATGTTGGATATCTCTGTATTATTTCTTATAAAATATGTGAATCTACAACTATCTCAAAATAAAACATTTAACAAATTAAAGCATAGAGTGTTATAACAGAACTTTGGAAGTCAGGAGACCTTGCCTGACCACATATTAACTTAAACAAGTCCCTTAACCTTTCTGAAACCCAGTTCCTTTGTTAGCCTTAAAGTAGGAATATTAATTCCTACCTAATGGGGTTGTTGGAAGGATTATATGAAACAGTATGGGTAAACATCTCATATGGTTCACACTCCATGATAAATATTCAATAAATGGTGGTTAGTTTTCCCTGTGCCTCTTTCCTCTGTTCTGAAGAAGAAACTAGAGCAAACAGCCTTGCTGCCCATCTCCTAGAAGAGAAATTGACCTGAAGCTGAAGACAGTTGAGAAGACTGCGTTAGTGAGAAGAACCCCTTAGTGGTATAGTGAGTAATGCTGTTACATAACTTCCACAAATCACTAGGCAGATCCGCTAACATGGCTTGGCGCTGTTTACCGATGAAATAAAATAATATAACAAGGCAGCTTCCAAACCCACTTCGAGTCAGGGAGTCCCGACCCAGCAGCCAAAGTCAAAAATCAAGAATAACTACATAGGCCTCGGAGCTCTGACATTTCAAGTTGACTCAGACATGCTGTAAATCTGCATAAGTGGGGGGAAAAAAGCGATCTCTCTCTGACTGGCCCCCTGAATAACTGTCCCCAAGGGGCCTTGAGAAGCTTTCCTTCCCTTGCAAAATCCTTAATCATGTCTCCCCAGTATGAGTTTTCCATACAACCACACAGATGAGAAATAGAGAGAGATTGAGGAGAATAAACATGTCTTGGTCCTAAGGATGTACTTGTCAAGTGAACGGCCAAGAGCACATCTCCCACATGTCCCCTAAAATGTTTTAGAGTTTCTCAGGGCTCTATCCTTGCCCCTGGTCTGATGAATGGTTTTAGCAGTGAGGTGGATAGACACACAGATGGCAAGCCCACCAAATTTTCCAATAATACTGAACTGAAAGAGAGTTTGGGGACAGAATGATAATTTGTAAATGTTTTGGCAGGTTCTGGGGGCACTGAGCTGATCACAGTAAGTTGTAATTTAATAGAGGTAATGTTGAAACATGTACTTCAAAATCAAAAGCAGTAGCAGAGGTTAGGAAAGGCTTATATTAGCCATGGTTTTTTATGAAAAGGTGTAGGGATTTTATTTGGCCACAAGAAAGGTAGGAGTCAACAATAGGATGTGGGTGTATTAAAAAAGAGGTTAGGGAGCAGAAAAAGGAAAGTAATCTTTCCACTTTATGTAATTTGCACTAGTTAGGTAATACTCAGTGTGTTGTACTCAGTCTAGGGGCCAAATTTAAGAAAGATAAATCAGAATTGGTCACTAAAGGAAGGAAGGAAAAAAGAAGGATCAGATATAAAAGATCACAAAAACATAATTTAAAGAATGGTTAAATAAGGAGATTTAGTTATCTTTTAGAGTTATCATATGAAAGAGAAGTAAACTTACGTATTTTGCTCTGAAAGACAGAAATGAGATTAATGAGAGCATTCATGGAAGCAGATTCTGGCTCAATAGAAGGAAAATTTTTCAAATAATTAGAGCAGTTCAGTGACAAAAAGAACCACTTCACTAAACTGGGAGCTTCTTGTCCCTGGAAATATTCAAGCTTAGGCCAAATGAGAATCTGTCTGAGATTCTGAAGGCTCCCAGCATTGAACAAGAGCCTGGGGCAGGTGACCTTTACAATCACTTCCAACTTCCATAGTCTGTGATTCAAGTAAGTGTGAATGCCATGGCCACTTGTGACATGCCAGAACCATTTTTTCAACTCTTGGCTCTGATTCTGACCAGCTGTATGACCTTCAGCTAAGATATTAACCATTTCTTGTTTCAGTTTCCTCATCCATAAAATAAGGAGACTTGGATTCAATGATGTCTGAGTTTCCCCAGCCCGTCTGTCTACTTGAGCATCCTCATAATGACAGCATGTTGGAAGAGGAGAGTTTGGGCTAATACCTGCCGTTTTCCAAGTTGGCTTGTAGGGAGAAGGCCTAAAGACCAAACACCATTGTTGATTCTGGGGGCTTTTGAACTAAACAGTCAATTGCTTGTTGGCAGGAGGGTAGGTGCTTGTGATCCTGGAATTTGTTCCCAGATCTGTGGCAGGAAGTTGATCAAATAACTGATAATCTGGTTTCTCTCAAACACCTGTATAATCTGGCTGAGTTCAGCAATGCCTTTGCAAACAGTTTAGAGGAAATGAAGATCATATTACCATTTCAATATAGCTCTATCTTGTATAACAACAAAGCAGCACTGAAGGAACAAAATAGCAGCAGAGTCACAGACTCCAAGAAGGGACTAGCCGTTACCAAAGGGGAGGGGTGCAGGAGGGTGGGTGGGGAGGGAGGGAGAAGGGGATTAAGGGGCATTATGATTAGTACACATAATGTAGGTGGGTCACGGGAGGGCAGTATAGCACAGAGAAGACAAGTAGTGACTCTATAGCATCTTACTACGCCGATGGACAGTGACTGCAATGGGATGGGGGTGAGGGGACTTGATAATATGAGTGAATGTTGTAACCACAATGTTGTCCATGTGAAACCTTCACAAGATTGCATGTCAATGATACCTTAATAAAAAAATAATATAGCTCTTCTTTTACAAAGCAAACATTGTTCTTTATTTCCTTAAGGATCTGGCAGTTACTGTGGTGCTTTGCTTATAATCATAAACAATATCCATAAAGCAACTTACTGTGTGGCAGATACTGTTGTGAAAGTTTTATATAAATTAATTTACTTAATCAGTTGACATACTGAAAGTCTAATGATGTATCAGTAGATTAGATCCTTTTTCTCTATGGAAAAGGAGTAGTTAAAATCCAGTTTAAATCTGTCTTAATAGTGAAGAGTTGAGAACTCAGATCCATCCCGTTCTCATTCTCTTAGGCTTCACTGCAGATGCCCAATGACTATAATTTCCTCTATGGTCCATTTGATTACTAATACTTTTCTGCCTGTAAAGGTGCCTCATCCTTTGCCACTACTACATGTTAGCCCTTCTATTGCTTCTTTGATTCCTCTCTGACACCCACATCATCGTCTCCGAATCCCATTTCTTTAGTTTTTCCAAAGATCTTTGAAAATGCAGCCATCAGTGGGAGTGTCATGGTTTGCTCCGATAAAGATACAGAAGGAATGGGCAGGATTTCAAACACCTCCTCTAGTTACTGAGGTCAGCAGGGAAGAAATAAGTAAATTTATGCTTTCTGTAAGGACACGAAGGATTTAAAACTTCATTCCCAGGCTCGTGGGTCTGGCAATACTCACTTCATCCAAGTACCACATTTTCTTCCATCTCTCTTTGTTTCTTCAGGCTGGAAGTGAAAACAGCTGTAAAAAGTAAGAGCACATGAGTCCATCTCAAATCTCAATGTAGTAATTATAGTTTCCATCTCAGTTGGTAAAGTTCCTCCCAGTGTACTGAGCCCTTTATCACAGCCCCTTGCTGTCAGTTTTATGCTAAGACTTTAGTTTGTGTTTCCAAACTTCTAAGATTAAACCCCAAATCAATTGCCAAACCAGAAAAAAATAACGAGGAAAAAAATACTTCAATTTAAAAAGTTGATTCTTGGGACAAGCCCTTTCGCTGATTTAGATTTTGACCAAATCTCTATGTTGGTACCAGAAATGTCAGTTACTGTGTTACATTTTTGAAGATGTAACTTCCAGGCTTCATGATACCTTCACTGTGAAGAATTTTGCTTGAATTCTCATATGCCTTGAACTGTATTTTCTCTTTTCCAAGTGCCCAAGATAATATCATAAGAGTTGCCTACAACCTATTAATTGATGGTCACCTTGCAGAGCAGATTGATCCTCTTTTCATTCTGCTCAGTCCCCCAGTCAGTCATTCAGTCCTTTCCTGAGCGGTCTTGCTGTCTAAAGCTTGAAGGCCCCCCTCCCGCCCCCAGTGATCCCCTGCCTTCAACTAACCAATCTAATACTGCCCTACAAATGGAGATCATATGCTATTGGCAAGAGAACTTTGTGTCCTAATGGGGGGTGGGAAGCAGGTGGTTTTCAATCACTTCACTTTGTCCACTTTCCCCTTTCTAAGATTTGATTTCTTTGTTATTAGATTAGGTTCTTTCTAAAATTCATTTCTGTGCTATCATTTCTATAATCCTGTTATCATTGTATACTCCAAGAGCTAGTTTTATATGTTGAAACTTGTCTAGGTTAGTTTGGGCTCCTATAGGAAAAATTATCATAGTGTTGCAAGTCCTAAGATCAAGGCCCTGGCAGATCTGGTATCTGGTGAGAGAGAGGGGGCAGAGAGTGAGTCCTGTGTCTCTTCTTATAAAGGCACTAATCCCATCATGAGGGCTCTGCCTTCTTGACATCACTACCTACCAGGGGCTCCATCTCCAGATAGCAACACTCTGGGGATTAAGGTTTCAACATACAAATTTTGGGGGACGCAAATATTCTGTCCATATCAGAAATGAAGACATTTAAAGGCATGATGTGATGTGTAGAATTCTGGGAAGGCCATTCAGCCCCTGCTTACTCAACGACACTGAAAATACTACCATTTGATATTACCTCTAGTGATTATCATTGTTCATTTGCATAAATCAGCATATTTATTGATGTCGTTTGACAGAAAGTTGACAGAGGTCTCAAAGAAACTAGAGTTTTGTTCAAGAGACTGGGAGGGGATGCTTTGGATGGACTGACATGGCAGAGTTAAGAAATGGTCTGCCTCAGTGTTACAGTTAGTAGCATGAAGTCAGTAGGTGCCTTGGGGCCCAAAGGAAGCATATACAAGAGACAGAGATGGGGGTAGATCTTTTTCTAGTCCTAACCAGTATGCCCAGTAACTGATAGAATTAATAAGCTACTATGGTGAGCAAGCAATGAAATGAAACTTGAATTCAGTACTTGCTTAATTTTTCTGTATCTCATAATTCTATCCTTATAATATTGGATGGGGTCTCTGAAGAACTACCCTTGAAGAACTATGGGAAAATGTAAAATAAGGTATTTTTCTTTGCTAAGTGTCCTTGCCTCTTTCTTCTAGATTATATGAAGCAGACAGCGTTTGAAGCCCAAGCCTTTTTAGATGCTGTGCAGTTCTTCCGACAGGAGAAGGGACACTATGGCTCTTGGGAAATGCTCACTGGGGATGAAATCCAGGTAACATGGGGCTCAGAATTTTGGATCTTTTTCTCTGCTGGGAGGTAGGAGGTCAAGGTCATAATGAAAAGTCAAACAAAAAATGTTGCAAGAATGGAAGATGTTCCAAAGGCCCTTGCTCTCATTGTCCGGAAGCATTTAAGCTATTGGGCACCCCCTCCAAGACCTCCAGACAGGGCACTAGGGAGAGTGGCTGAGACCACGGCAACTGCAATAGCAAGGATTGCTTCCACTGTCTTCTATAAAAGTGTTATTTTTTCAAATGACCTCATGCTTCTAGACTAGAAACAAATGTGGGCAGTGTGGCCCAGTGCAAAGTGTGTGGTGGGGCTTGAGGTCAGCAGACTTGGATTGAATCTTACCAAATTAACCTCTTTTAGTCTCAGGTTACTCCTCTTAAAAATAAAAATAAAAATAGGAACAACGAGATTTGCCTTGCAGAGTTTGAGAACTGAATCCTGTATTGTTAGAAAAGTGTTTGGCACATAGTTTTCTTTATCTATTGAGTGATTCATAAATGAAGTAATTGAAGGAAACAATTTTTAAAAGGACTGTTTTCTATGCATTTCATTTACATTTTCTGTTTTGTTTTGTTTTGTTTATCCTCTGAGATCCAGTGTAATTTCCCATGACCTTCACTAAATGCCAGTCATGGGCTAAGTACCTCGGTTGGCTTGGTACCAGGGGCATTGTTGCAAATCTCCAAGGAAACGGTGTCTCATGATGTGACCCCCATCTCCATGAGGACACCAATCACACAGCTGATTCAGCCAGGAAGAGGAGACTGGATATGGGCATTATTTAATTAGAGGCACACAGGGTCCAAGAAAGCTATTCTTCTATTTCCCCTCATCTCCCAGAGTGCCTCTTCTGGGGGCCAGTGAGATTTGTTATTAGGAAAGAATATTTGGAAGATGCCAGATGGTGCCTTGATTTTACATGGCCATTAAACATCGAGAGCCAAAGACATTTTCTCATGATGAGGGGGCTCTTCTTTGTTGCTCCATCATATGACTCTGAAGCTATTTTTTTGGTGGATTCTAAACTCATTTATTTCCCAGCCTGAGAATTATTCCGGAACTTTAACCAATTCTTGGTTTCTGATATTTTGGGGAAGTGCATCCATTTATAGAGGACTAAGAACTAACTGTACTTATGCCAAAAAGAAAAATGAAAGCAGAAGGGGCAGCTGAAGCATTTCACGCTGATGGGCCTGTCATAGAAACACATATATTTAGTAGATATACCAGTATTAAAATGCCTCTGTGTGACACTTTTTAACATTCAAATCCCAGTTTCGTGTGGGCATTTTAGCACACTCAAGTGCATGGAGCTGTGAGTATTATTTCCATTCTGTAAATGAGAAGACTGAGGTAGGCAAATAGCAGTGAAGTGGCCTGCCCAGTTTTACTCACTGAACAATTATTTATGGAGCCACTATATGCCAGGCACTCCGCTGGGTGCTGGCCATCCACAGACAGGCAAGACAGGATAGTGGCTGTCCTGTGGAGCTGACAGTTGCAGAGTAACATGCTAAGTGACAAATGGCAAGGGAAGTGATGGCCTGGGACCCTTGGTCCAGTGAAAGATCAACACCAACCACAGGACCACACCAAGTTAAACATTTATTTAGCTCCTTCCATGTAACTATGCTGCTTGCTTAATTCTTTCTTTCATTTGAAATCTCCTGTCGACTCACCTTCCTTCACGATACCCTTGAAAGCAGGTACATAGCATATATTTTTGGGGGCTTGAGTATTGAGTTTGTTTTCTTCTGTTGATGTTTTGCTTTTTGCTTTGGGCTGACACCTGTGAGGTGCTGTAAGGTACAAGAGAACTAACTGACTCATCCTTTGCCATCGTGGTGAGGCAAGACATACCTACCAACATCCAGAGAACAAGGCAGCATTAGAGTTGTGTGTGTGAGTGCAGACGTGGTTCTGCGCATACACAGGCATCAGGAAGCACTGGACGCAACAGTAGCAGGAGGGCGCTAACTGGGCAGGATGAGAAATACCATAAGTGGGAAAACCTGATAACTCAAAATAAAGAACCAAGGAAGGGATCAGTAAAAACCGTGGAGTCATCAAGCGACCCAGTGAGATGTTTTGCTCCCCTAGGAATGTGAGTAGCCTTGGTGAAATCACAGACTTGTAAAACGTGTGATGAAAAGCATTTCAGGATTATTTGCGCAGCACTCTCTGGGTGAGAAGAGGTTGTTCGGGGAAGTTGGAAGTCACAAAGGCAGTCTGTGACAGAAGGGCTTATTTTGAGTCATGTCAGGCTCACTTTGGCGAAGCCGGCAAAAGGAAAAGGCTCCCCAAACTCTCCTGTGCAGGAGTCAGTGAGGGTGATCTCTACTGTGGCCTCTTATACACGGGGCTGAAGCACTACCTCCCTAGACTCACAGGAACAGAGGTCAGGGCTGGAGAGAAGCTACCAAGTCATTAAAATGGCATGGGATAACTGGGCTTGAGAATATGACATCTTTTGATTAGAACACTGGGTTGATTTACATTTTTTTCATGTCTGCTAAGAACTTAATCATAACATTGTCCTAACCCACTCTACCCTCGGGGCCTATAGTTAGAAGATTTTCAGCATTATTCCATTATTATCTTCATAGTAATGACTCACACAGCAAGAATGGCACGACCTCATGGCGATGGATATTTTAGGCAACTGTCCACGCAAAGCAAATACCTTAGAATGACTTGCCTGGTGGACTATTAAGGTGAAAGAAAATATTTATATATTGATAAAAACATGAGTAAAAATGTCAATAAAAATGTATAAATGAGGTTGCAAAAGAAAGCATTTTGCAAAATGTAAAATCTTACAATTATTTGGTATATTGATTATTTGTCTTTGAATTAACCCTATGGGCCAAGAAAGCAGTTCATAGTTCCCACAGAACAGAGTGGTTTCAAGACAAAAAACTATCCACATTTTAGGCCTTGTCTCTATGTTCCAAAGTTATCTTTTGTTCAGTGACCTTGAATGTGGCCACTTCAAATGGATTCTTTGACCCACAGTAACTCAGTAAGACAAAGGGCATGAGGCCACAGCCTGGTTAGACCCTTAAGACCAGCCTCAAGAAGGAGGCCGTCTCTCTGGACCTCAAGCCTTCCTCACAGCTTCAGCGCCTGGAAGGTAATGTGTGGTGTGGTCCTCAGGGAATGAGCCTGGGTTTGCTGATTTTGATCACCCTAATGGTATGTTTGGTTTCTGATATGTGCAATGGAATTTAAAAATGTCCACATCCCAGCAGTTAAATTTACACACGAACACACATCCTTTTCAAATTCAGAAGTGATTATTTTTCAGGTCCCTTATGCTAAAACTCAGTGGATCCTGTGCTGAGGAGAGAAGTTTGGAGAATGCTTTCAGAAGTCTGATTTATGTATTAGACTAGCTACTTTCCCTAGAATGGCCCTCAGGCTTTGGGCGCTGCTTATGGAGAGCTGGTCAAGTTAGGGAAGCCCAGATGGGGCCCTGGGCAGGTATGGGGCAGCACAAGGTCAGGGCAGGGTGGGGCTGAGGGTTAGAGGAGGGTGACAGGGTGTTGGGATGAGACACAGCTGGGCCTCAGCACCCAGAGGCTCTGCCTGCCCTGTGGCTCTTCTCTGAGCCCCCTTCCCTTGCAGCCCATTTCTGTCCCCCTCCTTTTTTTTCCAGACATAATTCCTTTTCAATTCCCTAAGTTATAAAATAGAACCAAATCTCTTGGAACATTATATGGGAAAGACTAGAAGAAAAGTGTAAGTCCACCCAAGGGGAACATTCATTTTCTTTGGCCTTTGTAACATTTTCATCTTTTCAAACCCCTTTCACACTCAACGCTCCTATTCAAACTAATTCCTGCAAAAAAGATGAATTAGAGCAATGTCTATGATTCTTGAATTTAACACTTTTCAACTAAGATAGTATTTCCTGTTGATTTTAAGTTCTGGCTTCAACCTCCTCATGCTCTAAGCTCACCCTGTCCATGCCACACTTACATCACTCTTGGGCAAATGTGTTGCAAACAAGAACTTGCTCCACTGAGCAGGATGGGGACAGTCCATGAATTTTCAATTACCTACTTGAGTCTAATTGTTGGACCAGCTGATTTCCATGGGATCACAAAGACCAAGTTCCTCATATTCTCCTCAAAAATGCTGGTTCACCTTTTGACTGCCCTCGGAGAATGGTTAAGAAAGGTACAAACATCCACACCATTGAATTAGCAGGACTGGTGGAAACCCTATCCCCATTGTAAGTTTTGTCACACCAGGAGGTTCCACGCTGCAGACGACGGGAGACCCACTGGCTGCGCCGACCCGAGCGGCCTTCCCCCTCAGGATCCCAGAAGCACAGCGGGGCTGGGAGCTGGCAGTGTCCCTGCTCAGCTCAGCTCAATGGTCACGTGCTGCCCCAGCAGAGCCCTGGTGAAGGGCAGAACCTAGTGAGCTCCTGAGTGTTTCCACTAGCATGCGGCTGAGCACTAACCTCCGAGAAAATCTTCCTTAATTCCCAAAGCTTAATTTGAATTTTTATGAGGAGGTCAATTACTCTGGACAAAATCTATTTTAAATTCATAGAACAGGTGTCAAATGATTCTCTACTTTTCTGCCTGCCTCCATTCCCATAATTGCGCTTCCTCTTTATAAATCTTGGTCTACAGCCTGATACTGAATATTGAGCTGTGAGCCCCAAAAGACTCATGGTAAAAGCTGTTCCAACTTGGGGGTGGGGTGAGTGGGGTCCAAAGAAGGAGGGGCCGGTATTACATGGAGCTCTGTAATACTCGGACACGTAGAACACGGCTCAGATTCAAAAGAAACACTCTCGTGGAGCCAAGCAAAATTTTGGGAGTGATTTGGGAACAAAGTTTTTAAAAAAATACTGAAAATTTTAGAACCTCCCCCTCATCCATATTATCCACAAGTGTCTAGTTGTTCAAAGTATTTGTTACTTCCCTTATTTTCCTTAATTTTTGAGAGAATAGATGTGGGGTTCAGGAGACAATAGGCACAAAGAACCTAATGACACTGAAATATGAAGGAAGCTGCAGGAGGAATGATGGTCTCAGAAGACACAGACCCGGATTTAAGCCACTGAGGCCGAGCCTGACCCCCTTCATAATTTTGCTAAGGATGTCTTTATCCATAATTGAAGTTTTTCCTCTTATCATAAATGTACTAGACTGTTCCAGTTTGAATATGAGAAATTCGAATTGGAGGGATTTGTCCTTTGCGGTGGGAAAACATCAGTAGACATTATTGTTCCCTGTGGATGTTTAATTTAAGAATGTTTACCTGCTCGTAGCATCTCTATTGAGATTTCTTTAGCCTCAGAAGCAGAATTAAACCATTAGCCTGTCATTTCATATAGCTCAAGAAAGTCTTATGTAGCCAGGAGAGGGACAGCCCGTCGTGACATCTCCAGGTGGCCCGATGCTCGATCTATGCCATCACCAACTCACTGGCTCCTTCCTCTCTTCCTCGTGCAGATCCTGAGCAGCCTGGTGATGGAGGAGCTGATGCCCACCCTTCAGACAGACCTTCTGCCTAAAATGAAGGGGAAGAAGAACGACAGAAAGAGGGCCTGGCTTGGTGTAAGTGCTAACTTTGCTCTGCCACTGTGCTACGCCAAATGAGCGCTCCCTTCCCTTCTCTTTTAGAGCAGTTTTTTTGTTGTTAAATAATTCCTCCCCTGGGTGGAGAACTGCCTACCTCGGGTCTGCTCAGTCTCACTTACATGAGGACTAATCCAAACAGGCTCAGACTTTGAAAGAAAGGTTAGAATGTGTTTGCAGTTTTGTTTATGCTTTGATGGTCTGGGATTCACCCTCGTCCCCCTGCTTGACTCTGTCAGGCACGTACACACGACCAAGCCCCGATCTGTGTGCTGTTCTCTGTCACAGCTCCTCGAGGAGGCCTACAACCTGGTTCAGCATCAAGTTGCAGAAGGATTCAGTGCTCTGAAGGAGGAATGCAGAAATCTGATGAAGGGCCTGGAAGGAACCATCCGTTCAGACATGGACCAGATTGTGAACTCAAAGAACTTTTTAATCGGGAAGATCAAAGGTCAGTGGCGATAATCCATACTCTTACTAACTAAATAAGCTGTACATTTAAGGCTCTACCATATAGTTGGAATTCATGATTTCAGAGGAGTATTAAATTGAGGGAATTGGGAAAAGATGATAAGAGTTGTAATTGGAGTTGGAAATGCTAATAAGGGTCTGGACCTTCCCAGGGAAACTTCAGCAACACGAAGTGGGGGAAATGCCACGGGCCTGGTGGTGGTGGTGTGCATGTGCACTGTGATGCTGCCTGCACACCGCCCCCCACGCCCCGCCATTGTAGCGTTTCTGACACTGGATTGTAACGGCTTCTACCCCATCCCCCTCTCTGCCGTAAGCTCTCTAAGAGCAGGACTATGTTGTCCTAGTTCACTCAAGTATATCCCATGCCTACTACCATGCCTGGCACATACAGACTCTCTGTGAGTATTTGGATGAATGAATAAACGGATTTTCTTTTAACAGAAAAGAAGTTTTTGGCTCAGAGTTGATAGGTTTGGATTCTAGTACCAACTCCAACATGGGCCAGTCATGTGTCCTTGGGGAGGCCGCTTGACTTCTGTCTGCCTCAGTGTCCTTGGAAATCAGGAAGGCCCATGAGAGTGGTGTTGGCAAATTGTGGCCCCTGGGCCACATCCAGCCTGCCACCTGTTTTTGTAAATAACATTTTATTGGAACACAGCCGTGCCTCTTCCTTTATGGACGACCAAGTGACAAATACTCACTATTTGTCCCTCGGCAGAAAAAAGGCTGCCTGTTTCCTCAGGAGAGGCGTGAGACGGCCTCTTAAGGAATCCGACAGGATGAGATCCTGTGGTTCTACTTTCCTCCCTCCCCACAAACATGCTGCACTGAATGTCACTTCAGAGGACAAACGCGCGGTCCTCTCTGCGAGCTCCTCTGCGGTGTGCCGCTGTTTGCCTGCAATCCTCCTACGCTGTCACTCTTCAGATTATTCACTCATTCAAAGAATATTTGCTCAGGGCTTTCCGAGCAAGGCCATGGAGCTTTAGCAGTTCCTCTCCAAGAGTCTAGAGTCTCACAGGGGACTGTGGCTCAGTATCCTCTGCCCTTCACACCCTGTTTGTAATGCAGCCCAGCTGACTTCAGGGCTTTTCTAATGGGCCCTGCTGAGAAGAGACTGGAGGAGGCCCACCTAGAGCAAGGAGTGTGTGTGTCTCAATCCGGGTGTCTGTTCACAGGATTCCTTCCAAAAGCCAGATATAAACCAGTTTCAGAGTGTTTTGAGTTCACTGTTACCCATGTCCCTTCCTGCTCCACAAGCATGGCTGGTCTAAAGTGGACCATATATTGAAGAACCTTATACAGCTTAAAACTGCCAACACACAACTCCTGTGCCCACATTGCTATTATCTGGGGCTGAACTGGCCTAACTCTGACCGTTCTAAGGGCCTGCACTAAACCAGTCCTCTCTGTCTTACCTGAATCTCTGTGGCTCCAGTATATCCCACATAGGAAGGAAAAAGTTTCTGCCCTGGGCTAGTGTTCATTTCCTAAAAGAGGCCTTGAGAAATATCATTTGACCCAGTAATTCCACTCCTAGGAATTTACCCTGAGAATGCAGGAGCCCAGTCTCAAAAAGACATCTGCACCCCTATGTTTACCACAGCACTATTTACAATAGCCAAGAAATGGAAGCAACCTAAGTGTCCATCAGTAGATGAATGGATGCAGAAGATGTGATACATATACACAATGGAGCATTATTCAGCCATAAGAAGAAAACAAATCCTACCATTTGCAACAACATGGATGGAGCTAGAGGGTATTATGCTCAGTGAAATAAGCCAGGTGGAGAAAGACAAGTATCAAATGATTTCACTCATCTGTGGAGCATAAAAACAAAGCAAAAACTGAAGGAACAAAACAGCAGCAGACTCACAGACCCCAAGAATGGACTAACAGTTACCAAAGGGAAAGGGACTGGGGAGGATGGGTGGAAAGGGAGGGAGAAGGGGGAAAAGGGGCATTATGATCAGCACACATAACGTGGGGGGTGGGCACTTGGAAGGCAGTACAGCACGGAGAAGACAAGTAGTGATTCCATAGCTTCTTACTGCGCTGACAGACAGTGACTGTAATGGGGTGTGTGGTGGGGACTTGATGATGGGAGGAATTTAGTCATCACAGTGTTGCTCATGTAATTGTATATTAATGACACCAAAAGAAAAATAAGTAAATAAATAAATAACCAGGAATAAATAAACAAATATTTGACCAAATAAATAAATAAATAATAAACAAACAAATAAATAAATAAATAAAATAAAATAAAGGAGGCCTTGAAAGGAAGTCTTGATCAGGTCTCTTTAAAATGAGTGTCAAAAGCACATTTTAACCCAGCCTCCAGCTGCAAAACAACGAAGTATACTTCAGCCTCCATGGAGAAAGGGCTTGGATTTCAGAAATATCTTTGGGAGTATTAACTAGGAGTCTTTCCTTTTCCTCCCATGAGCTCTGGAGGATAAAGTAACCACCGCCTTAGTTCCGATCCACAGTTACTAATCCAGTAATTAGCATTTTTCTGCTCCTGCTGAGTACAAGGACTATGAGGATTCAAAGAAGACAACATTTTACAAGTAGAAGACAAGAATCATGTCACAGACACGGAAACAGAAGGAAGTTTATAATAAATACCACAGGAGAGGCAGGAACAGAGAGCACAGTGGTTCCCAACCAGGAACCATTTCAACTTCAAAAAATTGCGTGGGGCTCCTCATTACAAGAGTCCCGTTGTAGTGTCAGTGGCTTAGAAGACGTGATAATGCCAACAGACACAGTAAGAGGGGACAGTCACTGAGCACTTCCTGAGGGTCACAGGGTTCTAAGCAGTTTGGACATGGTAAACACACTTAATCCTCACTGTAACCCTAAGGTGTGATTACTCTTATGATCTCCATTTTACAGATAGGAAAACTGAGGCAGAAATTAAGTAACTCACCCCAGACTCCAAAACCAGAGTGTGGCAGAGTCCCGCTTTCCCCTCTAATTCCTACACTTTCACTCTTACTGACTCTGCACCCCTGCTCCCTCACGGAGGCCTGAATTTCGTGTGGCTTATGAATTAATGTGTCACAGCACAGCGTTCTTCACAGCAGCATCTCCACAGCCTTGCAAAGTAGCCAAGGAGACCCACGTGGGATGTGAAATTTACTCATCCATAAGGGAACACCGCAGAGCACTGCTCAGGAAGCCGTGTGGTGGGCCCAGGGCATTAGGCTGTCCCCTGTGGGTGAGGTTTGAACTGGGTCCTGCAGGGGGGAGTGGGATGTTCACAGGCAAAGGTGGAGGACGGAAGGCACAGGTAAAAGGAGCATTGAATACAGGCACGGAGAGGGGGCTGGAGCACAGGGTGGTACACAGGCATCAGGAGGGTCAGGCAGAAGGGAACCCGCCCGCCCCCTCCATGGCCCCTTCGCTGGGCCTCTCTCGCCCCACCCAGCAGGTGAAATCGGGCAGCTGAATCTTTACTGTATAATACCCATGTCCACGCTTACTCTGAAACTTCAATTCAATGCTCTTCAAATAGTTCTTCTCTTACAGTTAATCGATAAATAATGTTTTTATTCTCCTGGCAAACAAATCTGCATTTTGGTATCAGATGAATCATGTTTAGAAGTCATAGATTGTTTTGTATCTGAAACATACAATTGAAAGGGTTTTTTCCCCCTAGTAATTCTATGACCTGTTTCATATTTTAATCCCAGATAATTTATGAATTATTCATAATATTAATAGTATTGATCATCTCAGATTATCAGAATAAGAGGCGGTTTGATCCTCCATAACTGAAATATTTCTACAAATTGGAATAATAATGTGGCCGTTCATTTCACTGTAAGCAACATTTGCCAATAAAAACTTAAGAAATACATTTCAACTGTAGTCCTGGATCTGCACATTAGGGTGCAATCTTGGTCAAGCCATCTAACACCTGCAGGCCTCTAGTTTTCCATTTGTGAAATGGAGAAACTGGGCACCCAGCTGACTTTGAAGGTCTCTTCTCAGTTATACGTCAAGGCTATGTGGCTCACCTCGCTCCATGAAGCTAGCTTTCCAGTCCATGGAAGGAGCTCGGGTTCCGCTCTCGGGCTTCCCTCCCTGGGTGGCTGCTTCCAAACGTGGCGCATCATGAGAATCTCTGGAGTGCATGAGAATAATGCACGTTAAAAAATAGAGCTTTCCAGGTGCAGTCCAGGCTTGCTGAGTCAGCCTCCCTCCTGTGCCCTCCTCTTCTAAACCAAAGGGCACTATTTGCCTCTGGGAAGTGGGAGTATGGTTACATTTTTCACATCCCTTTTTAGGATTTCCTGTACTCTACATTTCGTCGCTGCATGTTCTTAGGGAAATGAATAAAACTCAATAAATTGTTATATTCCATTTTTGTATATGTTGTACACCTGAAACTAATGTATATCAAGTTTACCTTAATAACAAAACCAATACATTGTGTTTTTAGAAGACAAATTGTGCTTCTAAAATGATGATGATTGATGGTAAAGAGGTGGGTCACTGGCATTTTCTTTTTTTGTGTTAGGAATTCCATGTTCATAGGGACCAAGCAGAAAAATGCACTTCATCCCAGGGCAGAGGAAAGCTTGGGTAGAGGACAGATTCTGCTTGCTGGGCTTCTGAAAGCAGCTAGTAGTTCCCCATTCTGGTGGCTGCTGGTGCAGGGTTCACCGTGCTGGTCTGTCTTGCCCATTTGAGCTTGCCCTGGCTGTGGCTCCAGTGCCTTGGAACCCAACTTTGCCGCAAGTCATGGTTTTCTGGCTCTTTCCTACCTCAGCGATGGTAATGCAGCCAGCAGAGAGCAACTGTGCGGAGAATGTGCAACCGTTCTTGGCGTCCATTCTGGAGGAGCTCATGGGACCTGTGAGCTCGGGATTCAGTGAAGTACGCTCACTCTTTGAAAAAGAAGTGGATGAACTCAGCCAGAACTTCCAGACCACCAAAGACAGTGCACGGCTCAAGGAGGTAGGATCTGACGCAGGGGAGGTGAATGTGAACAGGCGCCTGGGGCTGCCTTTCCCTGAGCCTGTGGGCACTCAGCCATTCTTCCCTTGCTTCCTTCCTCCCACTGGTCTGCCCTTCCGTCTGCCCATCTAGGCTTCATCTGTCCATTTATCTATCCACCTGATTTCTATTACTAATGGTTTCCAAGTTGTCAAAATAATAACATGCTTGTACAAGTGAAGCAGTGTGTTCAAATACATATATAAAGGCAAAACCATTCACCCATGTGCACCTAATCCTAGTCCACACCCAGCTCCTAGGCCGCCTCCACTCCCAACTCCCTGAATTAACTAACATAAATAGCCCGGGATGTGTTTTCACATAATTTTCCTTGTTCATACAAACATATGAGCATGTATGCTCATTTCTGTAAGTCTTGTTTGTTGTTTGACTGGTTTCTAAAAATATAGACTCATAATAAAAACCAGTGTTTCTCAAAGTATTGCTTCTGAACCACCAGCATCATCATCACCAGGCTGTTAAAAAAAAGCAAGTTTTCAGGTTCCCGCTAATGACCTACTGAATCAGAAGCTCCGGGGCTCTGGCCCCGCAGTTTTAACAGAACCACCAGAAGGGTTGATGCCCCTGAAGTTTGAGAATGACTGACAGACATAACCTGGCACCTTGGTTTTACTCTTGACATATCATCAAGGGCATCCCTGCAAGTCAGTGGATAAGACCCTTCCTCGTTCCTTTTCTGATTTGTTTATGCATATAATGTACATGCACATGATTGTACATAAACAAGATCATTTCATATACATTTGGGGGCCTCTTATTTCAGTTTTCCTTTTAACTTGCTTTTACTTTCCCTCCTCCCCCCAAAGCCACCCACTCCTCCTGTTGTTAACTAGTGTTACCAACTTGACATATGCCATTCTGCACTTTTCTTCCTGCTGAGAGAGCATATAAAACACGTCCATTTATAGGTTATTTTTAGATTGTTTGCTCTTAGAAAAAACGGGATTATGTTATATATGCTACTATGCTCATCAGTGTTTGCATTTTAAAATATCTCATGAAGCTGTTTCTAAGTTAACTGTTCTAGCTCTAAATCCTTCTCTATAATGGCTGCGTAACATTTCATGTAGAGATACACCATGATTTATTCAACAATCCAGATGTTTCTGGCACCATGAGCAAAGCTGCAGTAAATAACCTTGTTGTTACATATATTCATATACTTTGATGTCCTCATTTATATGGGATACATTACTAGGACAGGGATTGCTAGGTGGAAAGGTAGGCTTATTTCTCCTGTCAACAGATGTTGCCATGTGCATTCCAAAAAGAGGATTTAAATTCTTCATTTCTACCCATTGTGTATGGCAGAGTCCTGTTTTCCCCCTATTCCCATCAGCTATATGTATTATCAATTGTTTACATGTTTGCCAATCTGATAGGCACAAAGTGGTAACCCATTTTACCTCCCCTCTCTGCTTAATTGTTATTCCTTTAAAACAGACACATTACAGATTGTGTGATGAGGGGCAGGTTTGAGGGAATGCTTGTGACCATTAGTTCCACTTCAGTGGAGGGCTTCATAAATCCTCATCATGAGTAATGTTTTTCTCTTTACAAGCTTGGGAATGGTCCCTTTAAAAATTCCTATTTAGAGAAACCGAGGAATCTAGATTTTTCATTTCTGTGACTTGAAAGTCCAACAGTGCACACTAGATTAATCACACTCACCCTATGTTGATCCCCAATTCTCCGTCAGGCATCCATTTCAGAACGTACCTTTCTATCTTTGTTTTTGCCACCAAATTCTCCTGTCTATTCCAGATGTCCAACATTGAATTTTAAAACTTATTTTTAAATAAGCTTGGAAAATAGAATGTGTTCTGTTGGCAATAATACAGTGTAAGAGTATGCTGCTAATACTTCAGGCCTTTAGCAGACAAGGTCTGTCTCTGTCCTCTTGCTGGAAGCTCCCTGGCCTCATCAGTCAAGTTACCACTTGTGCAGACTGGAGGAGGGGGTCCCCAGTTTTTAACACTGAATGCCTCTCCCAGGCCAGGCCTCTTCCTATCACCCGCCTCCCCACCCACCAGCACCACAGAGAACCCCAGAGAGGGAAGCCCATGGACATGGGCAGAGCCCCAGAGAACTGTGGGGAGTCCAGGAACATCCTGAATCCCCTCAGGTGTCTAAGAGGGTGCCACTTATTCAAGAAGGCTTTGGAGGTTCATGGACCCAGCAGCAATTCCCTGTGCCCAAGAGCCTGCTTGCCTAGTTCCTGAGCTTTGGAAGTGGAAGTGTGGAGTCCATCAAGAGCTTAAAAAGACTGAATGCCCCTAAATGCATGCTCCTGTGATCCAGTTTGTTCTACCAGTCTGCCCCCAGAGACCTACGGAAGGAGGGAAATACAACAGTTGTAGATGTCACAGATGTACTGAACCAAGAAGTGATTCACTCTAATAACATACACTGGATTGTTTAAAATTTGTGTGATAAACATGTATGTAGTAGTGCTCCTGAGTATGAGTATTTAATGCATTTCATTTTTCTCTTCACCAAAACGCAGCATCTAGACCAGCTTATGAATCTGCCACTGGATTCTGTGAAGATGGAGCCTTGTTACATTAAAGTCAACCTGCTTCAGGAACGCTTGCAGGACCTCAAGAGCCGCTTCAGGTTCCCCCACGTCGATCTCGTGGTTCAGAGGACACAGAACGACATGCAAGAGGTGGGAGCCGCGGGGGCGTCACGGTGGGTGAGGACGGAGAGAGCAGAGAAGCAAGTGCTGGCTCACGAGGCTGGTGTGCGTGCCACTCAGGGAAGCGGGGCCTGTTTCCTCAACTGTCACACGGAGCTGAGGACAGGTTTTGTCCTTCCAGCTGGCTTTGTCCTTCTTCCATGACCATCACAGAGAAGAAATATCTCAGAGAAATAGAGTAGCATTCACTGATAATTACCATATGGGTCAAATCAGTGCTTTTAACCTTGACTGCACACTAGAATCATCTGGGGAGCTTTTAAGAAATACTGATGTCTAGACTCCATTTCCAGTGACTATGATTTTTTTTTTCGGTCATTAAAAAAAACTTCCCCATTCCCATTCCCACTGCTTCTAATATGCAGCCAGGATGGGAATCACTGGGCTTCATTAATTCCCTAACCTAGTTAAGAGTAAATCAATCACACCTTCCTATTTGGATGTCTTGAGTCTGCTTGATAGGTTCCCTTTTTTTCCCCCAAAACAACTTTTCTTTTGGAACAGGGATGAAAAGTACAGTCTCTTCTCATATTAATAGTGCTTTCCAGATGAAGATGAATGTAGTCATTGAAGCCAAAAGGGCATGGTTCTCTTTCACAGATATTCCGGGGAACCCTTCTGTGGGGCTGGACACTGCCAGATCCACCTCAGGGAGCTGCCTGGGGGACAGATTCTTAGCTAGGTTCACTCAGGCGTTGGGTGAGCAGGCAGTGAGAGACCAACCTGCGGGATGCCTGGGGAAGAAAGGAACATTTTTTTTCTCCAAAGTTATGGGCAGTTTTAAGTGATGTCATCTCATTAGCTAACTTCTGAGATGTGAGATTTAAACACAGACGAGGGGGAAAACCGGGCAACAGGTTAAGAGATGCCCCTTTGAAATACTGAACCGTGGTGAAACTGACCCCAGGCAATGCAGAGAGTAAGAAATCTGAGCTACTTCCGTTTCCTGACCCGGGAGCATGTCAGCCACCGCCTCCACGGAGCCCGCCCCCGCCTCCCTTGCCGCCTGGCAGAGAAAGGAAGAGAAGTGGTAGATGAAGGTGGTTTACATCCCCCTGAAAGTGGAGAGGAAGGACTAAAGCAGCCAGAGTCGCTGGGGAAGGCTCACCTCGTCTTGTCCAGCCCTGGCTGTGGGACGACCGTGGAAGGTGATGGTGTCCTTTCCAGTTAGAGCAGAAAGAGAAAAGAAAATGCGCATTCACACATACACGCGTGCGTCCGTGTGTCTCTCCGTGCCTCTTACTGAGCCCACTGTGGCCACGTGCCTATTTATTTCACAATCCGCAGAACAAAACAATAGGGGGCCCCCCTGTGGGGATGAGGGCCTCTTGCCCTGGGCCACCTGCAGAGGGGCGCCCGAGGGGCCTCGTCCCCGACGGCCGCCCTTCCGTCCGGGCCCTGACGGGGCTGTTTCTGTGTCATGTTGGTGTCTAGCTGATGGAGAACGCGGTGTTCACTTTGGAGCAGTTGCTGTCGCCTCATCTCCAAGGAGAGGCCTCCAAAACCGCAGTGGCCATTGAGAAGGTGAAGCTCCGAGTCTTAAAGGTAAAACCGTTTCCTCGTTTGTGGCATGCATGAGACAAGAATGTGACCCCGTTTCTTCTCTTAGGTGGAAAATACCAAGTCAGTCACTCTCTCTTCTTTCACCTTGTCTTCATCTCCCCGCCCCGGGGGAGCCGCTTGTCCCCCAGCACGACTTTCAGGCCTGTTCTGCCACCTAGTGGCTGCTTGAGGGACCACAGGTCCTTAACATGGTCCACCAGCTTGCTTTCACAGCAATTGGACTCGTTAATTTGCAGCCCACTATAAGCCAAGCACTGTGTTAGGTATTGTATGGAATGTAAAAATAGACAAGGCACAACCTCTTTCTTCAAAGAGTTTATTTACATTATAGTAAAATTCATATAGATTGGCCAACATTCTTTAGAAAAATTTAAATCTCATGGCAAAGGAAACAATACTTGAAGCAAAAGACACCTGCCATATGAAATTGTTTTGATTTTTTTAATGTGCTTAAGACTTAAGTACATATCAAAGTGGTTTTAATAATAGAAGCTTGTACATATATGGTATATTTCTAAAGCTTATTTTGAAACTTATCCTTTTTCATTTGATACTCATGAAAAGCCTGTGAGATAATGAGATAATTGGAATATGTCCCCTTTGCAGTGATGAGTAAATTAAGAGCTAACATAATTTACATAAGCTCAACAGGCTGTCAGTGCTGAGCCTAGAGCTAAAACTATCCTAAAACCTAATCCACTCATTTTTTAACCTCCTACTTCCCCTACCAGCGCTTTGGAGCAGAAGATGAAAGTTCCACAGAGCCTAGGAGGTGGTCCCTGAATTTCAGACTTGATGTCTTACAAACAGGAGAAAACTCTAGCAACAAAACCATTGTATTTAAAAGTAGTATTTAACATGGTAACAGCAATAATATGGAACTTGCCATTGAGAAAGAAAAGAGAGTATGAATGCCCATATCACCTCCAGCGTCAGGACACTTTATACCTCTCGGGACAGTCCATTTCTTCTCTGGACTCTTTCAGCTGCAAGAATATGCTTTATAATGTTAAGCCCAAGTTCTCACCTTGGGTAATTCTAGTTCTACCCTCTTTGTTCATATCCTTCTTCCACATTTTCAACTTCCTTCGGTAGTTTGAAAAGAGCTATAATTCTGCCTCATGGTACTGTCTCCTTTATAAATGCTTCATCTCTTTAATCATGCTTTATTTGGCCTGACCATTCTGCTCACATGCCTATAAATGTGCCCCAGTTTATCTGAGATCCCCTTAAAGTGACACCTAAAACCAAACTCCAGTCTCTAGGTTTGGGTGCTCCATACAGAACAGAGGGAAGCATCATCTTTCTTGTTCTAGATATTAAACTTCTTTGGTAAACATGCCATGTGTTGAGGGAGCCAGGAGCCAGGCTCTCACTTCTCTTGTGGAAATCATTACAACCCACTAATCCTACTTTCAGTGAGTAGAGTGACTGAAGTAAGTGATCATGCCTCCTATGGGCACACGCAGGACAGGGGTGAGGAAGTACACAACCACCTCCCGGTTCTACACGACTCAAAAGTTGCTGTTCAGATCTTGCCTCAGTTTCTATATCTCTGTGTGTGTTGGGGGTTGAGGGGGTAGGATGAGTTATTGTGAGATGTAACATCTGCCTAACTGCATTAAAAGATCCGTGAGACCTTGGGCACACCAGGAGGGACCTCAGTAGTTAGGGGAGGGAAATGGAGTGAGTGCCTGAGCTTTAGTTTAAGCAGAAGTGGACAGATTGCAGTGTTGCTATTTAGCACATGTTTCTATCTCTGTGTTGACAGCAATATGACTATGACAGCAGCACCACCCGGAAGAGGATATTTCAAGAGGCCCTGGTTCAGATCACACTTCCCACTGTGCAGAAGGCACTGGCGTCCACGTGCAAACCCGTAAGGGGATGGTTATTCCAGAGAGCCTACTCTGACTGTCTGTGAAGTGCAGTCAAGTTCCTTTGCCGTGATGTGCTTGCTAGACCAGGGAGGGGTTAGCAAACTTTTTCTGTAAATGGTCAGAAAGTAAAATTTTAGGCTCCACAGGGCATACTATGTCTGTTGCAACTACTCAGCTCTGCTATGGTGGTACAAAAGCAGTCACAGACAGTAATACATTAGCAAACGGGCACGTCTGTGTTCCAGTAAAACTTTATGTACAAAGACAAGCAGGTAGACTAGACAAAATTTCAAAAGATAATGATCTGGTTTTTGGCCAAGCTCAGGGTTGCCATAGAACACCTGAGAATACCAGGTGTCCCTCACTGTATGATGCGTAGGTCCAACACGCCTCCTTCTGAAATTTAACCACTACATCCAAGAAAGACCTTACATTTAACAAGATTATCAAAGAGTATTTGTTCAATCCAGTAAGTCAATTAATTAGTGAAGTCAATGAAACTGAAACCATTTAAAGCTGCTGTGAACACCAGGCACCAGTGAAGCCATCATTAGGAAGGTGTGACTTAGTCTGAGAGCAGAGTAATGGGCACACTGACAGTGGAGGCTGGTTCAAGGCTCAGGTTCGAGTCCTGGCTCCTCCATATATCCAGTCTGGGGCCTCGAGCAAGTCACTTCCTCTTTCTTGGACTAGATTCCACTTTCTAGAAAAGGGATGCAATATATTTTGTAATGTCTTTCTTAAGACTGAGGAGACTAGGGTGAGCCAATTAACATTTCATGAGTGCCTACCATATGCCAGGTACTACGTTAAACACTCTGTGTGGATCATCTCAGTAATTCTCCCGACACCTCTGTAAAGTGTAACTATTTATATCCTCATGTCCAAGTGAGGAAACCTAGGAGATTAAGTAATGGACCCGCTGTGGGTGGCCACCATTGCCTGCTCCCAACTCACTCTCACCAAATGCATGGCACGTGCTCAGTAAATGGTATAAATTGCTACTGTTACTACTTGTACATTTCAGGAATGATCATGAGCCTGGGCATTTCCAAGGCCTGCCCCCTCTTGGAGCAAATGATAAAGAGCTTTTCAGAATTTAAAAAGGGCTTTTTGGCAGCTTAGAGAGTCTCCAAACATTGGAATACTAAAATCCTTTGCATAAGTTATTTTAGTGTGGAAATTTCTTTGGTCATTTTTAGATTCTGTAAATGCTGTTTTTCTTCAGCCTCGTTGGCATGTCTAGTACCTGGCATTTACTTCTGGGGTGTATTTATTTCATAGAAAAGGGTTTGATCGAGTCAAGGGAGGACAGAATCTGTCGATACGATGGTCCCTTGGCGTGATGTGGACAGAAAAGCTCAGCCACCCCCGAAGGAAGGTTCAGGTCACCTCTGGATGTGTCCACAGGCAGGCGTTCTGCTCAGGGTGGTTTTCTTTTTCTATCTCAAAGGCAGTTTGGGCCCTTGGCGCCACCTCCCCTGAGAAGAAGGGAAAGGTAAAGAAAGTTTCCCTTCTCGTCTGTTCCCCTCTTTTTAAGCATCAGTTGTACCCAAGCTGTAAAAGGCTCTTGTGATTTTTAATCAGGAGAGACTGGTTTCGAAAGGGACTGACACTCAGAGTTTTCAGTAATGAAGGATATTGTTTCCGTGTCAGGAGATTCTTAAATATCTGGAGTTACACAATGGATAAATAAGGGGATTATCTCCGTCATAGAAGTCTTTATTTTACTAAGGTGTGTTGCCCATGGTTCTTTCAATCACAGCTTCCCTGACCTGTGCTACTCAATCCAAGCTGCACATCAGAATTGCCTGGGGAGCTTTTAAAAAAATTCTGATTCCCCAAGACCCACCCTCAGGAGTTCTAGTTTCAGGGCTCCAGGGAATTAAACATATGTCACAGTTCGATCAGTCCCTGTACAAGACCTGATTTATAAATCCGGACATGTCACAACAGCATGAGCATCCCCAGAAATTACTCCTTTCCACACAATTATTTAGTTGGTTGAAATTTTAAAGGTCTACTTATTTATCAGCAAACACGTATTAAAAATATGTATCCCATCTGATCCAGGCACTGTGCCAGGCCAATGTCCCTGCTGTCCCAGATTCACGGCCTAGGGGCAGCAGATCGCATCCAGTATGCTCCTTGATGAGCACAGCAGTAGCCTTATGGGGAAGAGCAATGGTTTGGGCTCTGAGGAGGGTGCCCAGCTCTGCTTACGGGTCAGAGAGGACTTGCTGGAGTCATGTTGGCACCCAGTCCTGAGGGAGAAACAACAGTCAGGGGAGTAAGGAGTGGAAGACCACTTAGGGAGATTAAAGGGTATTGCAGACATGAGCCTGGGCCCCTCATTTTGCAGAGGAAGAGAGAGTGTGTCAGTTCTGTCTCACAGACTCTCTGGGGTCATGGAGGCTCATGTCCCTCCGGTCCTTTGGCTTTGCTCCGGCGTGGGTATAAAGGGACCCCACTATTGCCTGCTGTGATCTGGTTCAGGGCTACAGAGCCCCGAGTCCTAGTACTGAGAGTTGTCTGAATGTGGTGGCTTCTGACCCTCTAGGCAAAAGGCATCAAATCCCACTGCTCAGTCCCTGGCTCTCTACGAGCCAGGTATGGGGGACCCTCCTTGAGCACCCTCGGGTACAAAGATGACTCAGCTAATCACTAGGATATGATTTGGTACATTTTAATTCCTGTCCTGCCCTCATGCTGATAACAGGCAAGCCTATTGGAAACCCCTGGAAAGCAGGAAGGGTGGAGGGATTTTACATTGTGCCTTGGTTGTCTTAAAGGGAAATCAGTGAGTGCCAGGACCAGCAGGGGGGAAAGAGGAGAATGTGCCTGAAGAGTCCTGGACAAGGGATGCTCCGCACCTGAAAAGGGGTCCCATTCTAATAGTCAGACATACAGCTAGTCTAGGACCCAGCAACCTCACACACAGGTATAGACTCAAAATCCTTAAATCCATAAAAGTAATGCACAGGAATGTTCATAGCACTTATATTCATAACAGTCTAAAATGGAAAAACCAGGAGTATGTATAAACAACTTTATTTTATCCACATAATGAATGCCTTTTATCAATAAAAAGGAATGAGCTATGTGGATGAATCTCAAGAACAAATACAAAATACAAATGTATGATTCAATTTATATTAAGTTCAAGAACCAGAAAAACGGATCTGTTGTGATAGATATCAAATCAGTGCTTATTATCTCTTGGGAAGTTGTAGACAAAAAAGCGATGGGGAGCTGGAAATAGTCTCTGTCTTGATCTGGGTTATGGTTACATGATATATTTATATGTTTAAAACCATTTGAGCTGTACTTTTAAAATGTAGGGGTTTTACTGTATGTAACTTATACCTTGGTAAAGTACTGTTGATATTTTAAAAAAAAGAAAAATATTTTGGTTATAATAAAAAAATTTAATAAAGGAGAGCCCCAGACCCACAGACCAAGGTGTGAGATGGTTGGAATCTCTGGTATCTGTCTCCTAAGGTCCACAGAGCATGTGCCCAGTACAAGGAATGGTGCCTGGGTGGAGGGAAGAGAATGACTAACGGCTAAGCACTCCTTACTCCAAGGAGGGCATCAGGATGGGGTCAGCCTTTCCATATCCCCTCTGTGAACTGACATCTCATGCCTTGTCTTCTTTATCTTTATCTTCTTCTCTCTCACTCTCCAGGAGCTTCAGAAATACGAGCAGTTCATCTTCGCAGATCACACCAATATGATCCATGTTGAAAATGTCTATGAGGAAATTCTGCATCAGATCCTCCTTGATGAGACTCTGAAAGGTAAGAAAGGTCTGCCTGGTGCCGGAGGGAACTCTACACCGAGGGAAGCATGCCTGGGATGGGACCCAGCTAGGCCAGCTAGGTTTTCTCCACAGGTGTGAAAGGGGAGCAGGAGAGTGACCTTGGTGTGTTGAGGACACCGAGAGAAAAGGGGAAGAGAGGGAGGGATTTCACCTTGACCGGGCAGCCATGACTTGGCACACACTGTTTTGGCCCATTTGATATTATTTCTCTTTCCATACAAAGAACTCTGGGAGATGGGAATTTTAGGCTTCATTTTTCAGGTGGGAAAACTGAGGTTTAGAGAGATTAAACCTGGAGTGTGTCATGTTTGAGACAGCAAAGAAATGCAGGGCTCTTCATATCTGCACGCTCACAACCCCTCCCAGAGCTGGGAGCAGGTGATTCTGGGAGCAGGGCCTGCCAGCTGCGCCCGCAGCACATTCCTCGCCTGCTCTCGCTGGACAGAGCAGACACAGTGTGATGACACAGTACTCTGTGTCTCGTTAGCACTCCGGCACCCACTGTCCTGTGGAATCTGGCCTTGCCTGGGACAGGAGTCTGGCTTGGAAACCTTTGATAGAAATATGCTGGAGAGGGCCATCCCTAAAACCATAAGCCTGAAACATATTGGGTCTCCCTGGGGTAGGGGTTGAATATCACAAAAAAACACTCCACAAAGACTGGCCAAGCGTGAGCCCAGTCTTAGAGTAGCCCAGGTCACAGTAGCTAATCCAATGAGATAAGGAATGTGAAGATGTTAGCATGGTGTCTGCACCTCAGAGAGAGGGCCTAAGGCCATGCCAGTCCACCACGGTGCCTTTGGGCAAAATAAAAGAGGCTCCCTCTCTCCATATACATGACTGTTCTCTGTAAAACAGCCACAGCAGAGTGATACCGAGTAGGACTCTGCTGCCTGTTGCTGGAAGATGATTCAGCTGAATGCACAGAGCTACCTGGTCTCTGGTGTGAACGGCACCCCACTGGGTGTGATATCTTGGGGCATAAACAACCTGCACAGCCATAAGTGGAGGCCTGTGGCCAAGAATGTCAGTTGCTGTCCTTACTATTGTTTTTACTCTTCTCATGGTCTCTAAGACTGAGCTGGTTGTCCATGGGTTTTTAATTTTGGACACTATAAGTCAATGGCATTCTCTACAGGCTCAGCACTGAGTACCCGTTCACATTCAGGACTGAACTATGAGAAAAGCAGGGAAATACTGCCTTCTAAGGCCTGCTGCTGCCCTGGAGGAGTTTCAGATGAGGTAGACAAACAGAAACCACAATTTTAGTAGTTAATTAAATGTGATGAGAGCCTCCATGAGTGATACAGATAATACTGTTAGATTGTGAGGTCCTTTTACCATATTTCATACATCTTTGGATTCTCAAAGCATGTCCCATAGTTCATACCCAGTAAATGTTCACTATTTGAATAAATGAGTGGAGGAATGAATGAATGAACACTACAGAGGTCTGGAGTTTAGAATAAGTTTGCTGGCTTTGGTCACCCGGGAGGGCTACCTGGAAGAGGGTGGCTATGAACTGGAACTTGAAATTGAGAAATTAGGATAGCCAGAAAAGCGAAGATAAGACTTTGGCTTCTGGAAAAAAGCAGAAAATCCATTTGGGCCAGGGCAGAATGTTAATGGCATGCTTTGTTTTCTGGTGTCTCCCAGTGATAAAGGAAGCTGCTATCCTGAAAAAACACAATTTATTTGAAGACAACGTGGCCTTGCCCAGTGAAAGCGTTTCCAGCTTAACGGATCTAAAAACCCCTGCAGGGTCAAACCAGGCCAGCCCTGCCCGGAGAGCCTCAGCCGTTCTACCAGGCGCTCTGGACACTGAGATCCCGAGTAACGAAGTGTTCCAGGAGTCAGAGGAAAGCAGGCAGCCTGGGGTCCCTGGTCCACCAGCCAAAGGAGAAGGCCTTTCTTTTCTTGCACCCAGCCCTCCCCCAGGTGGGGATGGGCAGGTGATCATTTCGAGCATGGATGACCCCATTGTGAATCACGTGGCTGCAGAGGCCACGGCAGGAGCCCCGGGCACACTGTCGTCGCAGCTGGAGGCTGGAGGGACTCCCGAGGGTGAAAGGCCCCCTGGCGAAATGCCAGAGCCCAGCTCCTCCACCTCTGGCTCCTTGAAGGAGATCAGAAATTTGTTGACGGTGACCCTTGAAGTACCAGTGGAGTCCTCTGCCCTTGAGATTGAAAAAGATACAAATAAGGAGATCCCTGTTGCCCAAGAAATTGGAAAAGAAGAGGAAATGGCCCAGATCTACACAAAAGCCAATCAAGAAGCTGCCTGCAGTCAAGACAACTATGAAGAAAATGAAGTCAGTGAGAAGGAGGCCGGTTCTCCCTCTCCGGAGGCCGAGGCTGGCGGGGTGGAGTCAGGGGCATCTCTGGAGGCTCAGCTGGCCTGTGGAGTGCTCGCAGAGAGCACCGGAGGCCCGGGCCCCACAGAGGAGAAAGCAGAGGCCGGGGAGCCCTCTGACAGGGAGCTTGCAGGTCAGGCATCCAGCCCAGAAGCCCATGGAGAAGGGGCTGAGCGCCCTGTAGAGGGTGAGGCTGTGCCACAAGATTGCACCTCAAGTTCTGACCCTATCTACTCCAATGAGAGTCAGGTCTCTGTGGAAGAAGCAGTGGCAGAAGGGAACCCCAGCCCGGCCCAGGCTGCTGCCGGCGGGGGTGCCGAGGAGTTTAAGGCTGCCCACGTTCACGGGTGTGAGTGGGTGGTCGAGAACCCTCCAAACACCGATGTCCTAGATGCACAGAAAGAGGATGCTAGTGAGAGCGCCCCAGAGCAGCCCTCAGAGGAGTGAGCGACAATCTGGCAAAACAGACTCAGACAAAGGGTTATGATTATGGGTATGCTTAGGGGGTCGCATGAGAGTTGTTTCCCAAAAAAGAAAGGTATTAGGTATTTCCTTAATTTGTGTAACGAAAGCAGAGGAAAATTCGGCCGCGAGCACCGAGGCAAATCTTTGTGGAACTGAATTGTTCTACCACGAATTATTGCTTTAGCATTTTAGTAGGATTTACAAAGGTAATGGTGTGTTTGGGTGTCCGAGGGAGGGAACGGTGTCACAATGAAGACCAAGAAAGCAGTAGGAGCACGGTTTTTAATATATTCTGCACATTTTCTTCTAATGCACTTTAAGGATTTTTAGTTTTTTTGTAAGAATGCAAACATATAGTGTAAACCCAGCCTCACCATCTACTGTACCAACATCACCATCTCTTAAGGACTCAGCATTCACCCACAGTCAGGCTGTAAGAAAGGGTAGGTGGTGCTCACCCGTTACCTCTGCTGTGTGCAGCCCCCCAGAGCCTGAGAGATTATGCCTCAGAGATCCCAGGGGAAGAGAGCAGAAATGGAGGAAGGTTGTGGTCTACGGGACTGTCTGAGCCTGTTGCTAATTCTATCAACCTCTTTTTAATTAATCTTGTTGATTCTTATTAATGCATCACCTTTTGGGAAAATCAAGATGAGGCAAGAAAATTTCCTTGGCATGTTTCAGCCTGGAAGCATTCCAGATTAGCCTTAGACCCGGCAGAGAAAGCTTCGCTGAATCACGGAGGGTAAAGCCCGCCAAGTAAACAAATATTATGGAACCGACTCCTCTGTGCCACATGCTTTGTTAGGCATTGTGTCAAAAAAGAAAAGATAAGGTACTTTGTCTAGTATGTTAAAAAGCCCAGGAGAATTTAATCTAAAAGGAAAAAAAATGCCAATTTTCAAACCATGACGGCTTTCTGTCTTTCCATTGAAACAGTCCTGGCCCCTTCCCAGAAGGGAATAAAGTAAGTGAATAAAATGAAGGAAAAAAAAGAAAAAGGAGGAAGGAAAGAAAAGGGAGAGAGAGAGAAAGAGCAAAGCCAGGATGTGTAACCCCAAGGTCCAAAGATATCATCACCCAAATTGGAAATCGTTTGTTCCGTCATCATTCAGCAGGTAAACTGACCCTATCATGTCCCAGGCGCGGGAGATACTTTGGAGGAAAAATGCTGCTCCTTCTTCCCAGAACTTACATTTTCATGGAAATCGACACCAATACATCTTCTAAATGTTTTATGACCTACAATGGTTAACGTTAAACAGCTTATTGTCCTAAAGCTTGTTTTGATCAGATGAACAAGTTTATATCAGTTCTGTAAAGAAAGTGTCCTGCAGTTTAACTATTTAACCATGAATTAAAGTACCTCTCTCTTCTCCTTCCCATGAAGAATCTCTCAGATTTCCATGTAAAAATGATGAAAAAGAATCAGTATGAGGATACTCTCTCACATTGAATTGTTTCAACTCTTCTTAGTGTTTAGGCCCTCACATCTCTGAAGGACCTCCTTACAGGTTAGGAGGGTAGAGGCCACCTGCCACCAACCCCCCCCACCCCAACCCACCCCCATGCCTCGTCCCTGCAGTAGTCCCTCGTTGCATACTCACATTAGCACACAATATTAAAATGATGTTTACTTCCTGAGTCTTCCAGGACAGATACTAGGCTTTAGTCCTAGTTTGTGCTTCCTGCCAGAAACAAAGCCTTAAATAAGGGTTCCCTGTCTTCTCCAGTCGCTTTCAAACTCCTAGCACCTAGCATGGGAAATTACCTGTGGCCAGCTGCTCAGGAAATGTGAGAACTGAGTGTGCCACACGCTGTAACTGGGGCTACTTGGGGCTTGCTGTCAGGCAGGGAGATGCTTTTATTTGGGCTTCTACCTATAGGGAGTCTTGCCTTAAATCAAGTCCAGAGTCCAAACAACAGACAGTCAGATAGTCAGATGCGCTGCCCAGCGATGCCAGGAGCCACAGGAGCAGCGCCCAGCCCCACCAAGGACTGCCTTTCTCTCCCAGAAAATCGTAGCGAGCAAGGCAGTCCCGGGCCAGGCTGAGCCCTAGCTCCCTAGCTTCCTGCCTTTGCTCATCTCAGGTCTTCTTGAGGCCTCCAAAGCTAAGAGATTTTTCCAGAGTACATTTTCAGTGCACTGGATGGATGAACATCAAGGGAAGGTGCACTAAGTGGACGGGTGTACTTAAAACAAAGAAGTTTTCTATACATATTTCTCAGAAGTTCACTAGACAAGGTGGGATGATTGTTCCGCTTGGAGATGGAACAGGAGACTTAAGTGCATTAGAAATATTCCTTATTCATTTAACTTGGTGAATGGAGTAACTTCATACCATGGATTTGTCTTGCTTTTATTACACTTACATGTGTGGTTTCCGTGGTTTCCAGCTTGGAGCAAGGTTATTGTGATTTAAATCAGAAACATGAAAAGCCTCTGCCTACTGCTCTGGGGATTGCTCCTCAAGGCAAATACATTAGAAATGCATAAAATCTCAAGACATGGTATTTGGCAAAATTTCCACTACATTAAACTAGTTATGTTGCTATTGGCATTTCACAAAGAAAGAATTTTTTCCTTGAAAAAAATTAGCATGGCATTTTTTTTCCTCTGCAGCTTAGAGCAGAGACAGTAGTGCCTTGCATTATGCAGAGTTAACACTCTGAATTTTCAAGAAAAGTCTCTTGGAGAACACTAGGATAAGATTCCAGGTTTTGTCCAGAAGCTTTATAAAAAGGCTGAGCGTGAAGAACCGCAGGTCTTTAGGCCCAACCTACATTTTACTTCAAAGATGTTCAAATCTGGTTTTGTAACCCTCCCAATCGGAGCCAGTGATTTCAAAGGGATTCACAATTCTTCAGAAAGATGATTTTATTTCTTTATAAAAAGTGCTAAATGATATGTGCTTCATAGCAATGTTAATATGGGGAAGGGAAGGACACCACTGACTAAGACAATAATAGAGTTTCACTAGGTAAAAACGTTGGCTACATGTGCCTTCTTTACCATTCACAGATGGGGTTTGGGGATTTGCCTTCTGAAGTCTGTAACTTCAAGAAAAAAATCTACACTGCGGATTGATATTTCTGGTCACTATACAAAGCAAATAAAACACTTTGTAACCACATATTAACTCTGCCAAGTGCCTATATTCCAATAAAATTTTCATCCTTGAAAAGGTGTCCAGATATCCTATTTATTTGGAATGGGGCTGGTTTCATCTTTTGAGCGAGTGTCATTCCTGAACTGGGAGAAACAGCACTTCGAGATGAAAAGGTGAGTGGATGTTGCTCTATATCGAACCTTCTAAGCCTGCTCTTTATTTCTTCCCTCTTTTTATTTCTTCTCCATCATGAACTAAAATCCAAAATCCAACTGCCTAAAGAGAGATACCCTGAAGAAAATTTTTATCAGGATCCCATCACGCCAGCCCCTACACAGTCTTTCCAGGAATCTTGAGTCCCTTGTGGATGCTGGCCTAGACCTGCAGACACAGTTGTGTTTTTCTGCCTCTGGTCTCTACACAAAGGAGTATGCATATGGTGAGGCAATTCCAAGTGGAATGTTGGGGTAGGAAAGTGGGTTTATGTCATGAGGAATTCCTACGAGATACTGAGTTGATTTTGACTATAGGGGTAGTCTCTCCTGGAAATACCTCAAACCACAACCCCTTCTCTGCTTGCTGCCTGGATCACATTGGGGGCAGCTTTTCTGTACATTGGTTTGAGAAACGTAAGTGGGGAAAAAGAAAGGTATTTCCCCATTCTCCAGCAGGCTGACTCAGTCTTGTTCTTGTGTCAGAAGCCAGGTTCAGAGAGAGGAAGGGAGAGGAAAAAAACATAGCAGCCAAAGCTTCTTGAGACCCAGGCTCAGAACTGGTGGGACATCCCTTCCGCCATATCCTGTTGACCAAAACAAGTCACAAGGCTGGCCGAGATCCAAGGGATGGGAAGAGGTGCAAAGTCAGGTCGCACTGGGCATGAGTCCAGGGAGGCCATTAACGAGGGCCATCAATGCAATAAGCCTGCCTCACCAGGATTCAAATGACTCCTGTTTGAGTCTAAAACTCAAACTCTTGTCTCTTTACTAGACTAACTATAAAAAGACATTGGTTCCTCTCACATACTTCCCAATGCCTCTGTGCTGCCCTAGCCCCACTCATCATTAGGTAAACAAAACGTGATCATTCCCAACTCCAGTCCAGTCTATCAGTCTTGATTTTTTGTATTGGTTTTGAAAATTTCTTAAAATATTTTTAAAACTTACTAACCATGTAAGAAGAAAAATCTAAAAGGTTTTTTTCTCCCTATCTCAGCAATAAGATTCATACTGTTTATGTACCACTTAGACTAATAATAACAATGAACAACATGTTAGTTATCTCAAGGTAAGTGAGGAAATTTGACCTGTGAACATAGTGTATAACTTCAGATAAACAAGCACAATTCCCTACAACAAATATGCCAAGGACAGATGTGGTTTTCTAGAGCACAGAATTGTAGTCTTTAGATAAGGCTCAGTCCTTGGGGAATAACTAAACACACACCCATTTTTTGAGGGCAAGCTCTTTTCCCTTCTTAAAAGAACAAAAGAAAACAAAAATTCTAAACCAGCTAGAAATTCTATTTCTTGCCACCAAAATAAGAATAAGTCTTACCTAAAACAACCTACTTGGTCAGTGTTAGTTATTCTTTGTAAGTGCAAGGTGACTGATTTGTAAATAGGCCTAAACCCTCTCCTTTTCCTGTTAAAATACGATCCCCAGGACATCATATTTTTAAAAGCACTTGTATCAGATTTTTGCCCTTCTAGTTTTCTTGCTAGAATATTGCTGTGCTTGGTGACCTATGAGTGTCTTTTAGATTTTTAATGAAGGCTGAATAAAAGGTCTTGGGCTTACAACCACTTTACTCCACATCGTCTAGTATGCCGTCTCTCACCAAGGACGTTCCTTTTCTGTTTATCCAACACATAGGGCACATGAGAACTTACATGCTGCCCCCAGGATCATTTCAAGGCTTCTTTCTATGAATTCTTCTGGCTGTTGTGCTGACAACATTGATTTTGGCACTTAGCTATGTACCACCAAGAAATTTCTAATGATTTCCTACGTGTCTTGACTCATACATTTTGGAAGACAGGGAGTTTTCTTTGCACATCTACGTACTCAATATATTTATAGAAGCATAGACTCTTAGTTTGGAAGATACCCTAATGTTCATTCAGGGCAAATGCATCCATAGCTTTGACATTTCCCTTTTAAAGCCTTCCTGCTAAGTGGTCATCCACCAGGGATGGAAAAGTCACTATCTGCCAAAGGAGACCATTCCGTTTTCAGACAGCTCTGACCATTAGAGAGCAAAAAGATTGTCTCATACTCCACTTTTCCTCCACCACCACCATCCTCAAGTATAATGTCCATCCCATGGGTCCAATTCTATCCATCAGGGCTGTCTACAACATGCTAAATTCTTTCCTTCACAGATTCAAACTGAGACCCCTTCTCCAGACAAAATATACCCAAATTATTTTTTTTAATGTGACATGGCTTTGAGTTCTTCTGTTGAGTCTTTATAACACAGTTGCAAACAAATTCCTTGTATTTCCTCTCTTCCTTGAAGCAGCTTTCTCAAAACTCCCCTTCTCTCCCTCACTGTCCCCTATCTCAGAGTCTAGCACCCTTTCTCTCCAAAACCTTCTCTTCCCAATCCCAGCCCTGAGTCAGGCACCTTCTTGTTACTTCCTCCCTTTCTTTTTAGCTACCAAGGAAAGCCAAGAGCAGGGTGTTTTTGATGGCCAAACTTTTGCTTTCAGCTGCTGTCAGAAGGTAAATGATGTAAAAATAATAACTAAAAATTACAAAAAAATAAAGCCCTTAGATTTAAGTTTTCAGGTCTATCACTTGAGACTCCTCTTGAGAAGGTAAAAGGAAGTGTGGTTGGCTGGCAGCCCACCATTTCTGAAGGGGAGGCTCAGCAACGTTCCCTCTCCAGAGCTGATCCTAGCTTGGAGAGGCCATAAGGAGCCCATTCCTTCATGAAGGCACCTCTTCCCAGAATGCAATTCAGGCAAAATAAGTGTTTCAATGGTTAAGTGTTATCTGGAAGGGCTTCCAGATTGCAAGCAATGTCCACTGGATTTGTCTTACCTAGGAAGATCTATCTCCTTTTGACATTTTGTCATTCCCTATAGAGACTTTGCTGTCTTCTGGGCATTTTTGATCAAATATTTTCACACATACACAAAAACAAAAAGGAAAAAAAAGAGGATATATGGAAGAGCTCAGAAAGGTCAAGGCTAGAAATAAGGGCTTGGGAGTCAATGGCATATATTCGGCATTTGAAGCTACAGCAATGGATAGGATCTCCCTTTCAGAGGTTTTACAAGAAAAGTGGGCTTGGAAACTGGAAACTTAGGGAACATCTGTGTTTGTGGAGTTGGAGGAGAAAAAATCATGGTCAGATAAGTAATTAAAAAAGTAAAAGAAACCAAAGTAGATGAAGAAAGAAGTGGCCGATACGTGAAAGGCTATAGTGAGGTCAGATATGGTAAGACACAAAGCGTGTCCACTGGCTCACAAAAAAGCCACCAATACCTTGGTATGACAGAAACCAGATGAGGGTGGGAGGTGAAGATGGATACACCCCTTTGGTCTTTGTTGACCTTGAAGTGTGTTACCCTAAACTGAAGCTGATGTTCTAAATGTGGTCTGATGGAGTAAAGAGGGGACATCTCCGTTGTTGACTAACTCTCTCTGTGTCTATTAATATAGCTTCAGGACACATGACTATTTTTTAGTACTCCCACTTATTGTACTACTCCAGTAACTCATATGAAACCTTTTGTCATTTCCATAGGTAGCAGGAGTAATTCATGATTTCCCATCCTGTGCTTACGCAGTTGAGGTATTGGTGGGAAGCCAAGAACAGGTGTCTAAATGCTGTCACTAGCAGGTCCAAAGACAGGGGAGTAAGAGAATTTGATACCAGGTGTTTGCGGGGAAGGGCAGTGGATAAGGAGCAGCGCCGAAGCCAGGAACAGAGCCAAACAACAACCTTAATGAGCAGGTTCAATACAAAGGGCAAATTTAGAAGACAGAGAAATTAAGGGAACCTCCAAAGTCACAACACACCCAGTGGAGGAAGTGCACATATCGATAACTAACTTTTGGACTTCCAGGGGTCTTTTAGCTCCATATGCAAGGGTACCTGTCCTTCAAAATTCCAAGGGCTCAAGCAGAGAAAGACAAGTACCAAATGATTTCACTCATCAGTGGAGCATAAGAACAAAGCAAAAACTGAAGGAACAAAACAGCAGCAGAAGCACGAACCCGAAGAATGGACTAACAGTTACCAAAGAGAAAGGGACTGGGGAGGGTGGGTGGGAAGGGAGGGAGGGATGAGGGGAATAAGGGACATTACGATTAGCAGACATAATGTAGGGGGGGGGGCACGGGGAAGGCAGTATAGCACAGAGAAGACAAGTAGTGACTCTATAGCATGTTACTACGCTCATGGACAGTGACTGTAATGGGGTATGTGGTGGGGACTTGATAATGGGGAGAATCTAGTAACCACAATGTTGCTTGCTCATGTGATTGTATATTAATGATAACAAAATATAAATAAATAAATAAATAAATAAAATTGCAAGGGCTTTTGATAAATAAAAATGTGTTACGAGACAGGTCTTTTAGCTCTTTCCTAAGGACCTTCTTCTACATGGAACTTTTTTGGGGTTGGCCAGGTAACCAACTACTAATTCATCAAACTCCACTTGCATCCACTTTATATGTCTCTTTATGTCGTCAGTTTATATGATATTTTATAAGGAAAGTTTGTGGAGGGGGGAGGAATAGAGGAGCAAAGGGAGAAAGGAAGAGAGTGAATTTTCACTGGGGTTCCCATGTGATATTTCTTCTCTCTCCTGGAGTTTCATTGAGGACCAGCATCAATATTGTTTTTAACACATATTAGCATGGCTAAATGAAAACAAAACTGAGTGCTGGTTAGGGTGCAAGTAGGACTCATATGCTGCTGGTAGGAATGCAAATTGTGATCCCTACTTTAGAAAACGGTTTGGCAGTTTCTTACCAAGTTAAACGCCCTTATCATATGATCCAGTAAAACCAGTCCTAAGGGTTTACTGTAGACAAATGAACTTTTGTTCACACAAACA